ACCTGTGTAGCTGTCACTCCATATATTTATTCCAAATATTAGTTCAGATGAGAAAATCCCCTGACTAAAGTACAGGACACCACAACATGACACCACAAATTTTTTCATTTTTTCATTAGTGGAAAGCAGGAGGAGATAGTTGTCTAGATGCAATTTATCTACTGCATTATAGTAAAAGATTATTCAATATTTAGGGCAATGGTGGCTTTTAAAGGACTTGCAAGATTAAACCTTACATTGGACTGAAGGCAGTAAGAACGCGGGGAAATCAGAGACATGTAAGTAAACATGGAAGAGAAGAAAGCTCTGTGAAAGTCCAGGTCACATTGGAGTGGCAGGTCTGAAAAACCTGTATTGCCTATTTAACCACAGAGCTGAAGCTCATTCCTGGCCTCAAGCAGCAAAAATATTGTGTCAGATCTGAACAACTGGATTCTGTTTCTACCATACTTTCAGGTGGCCACTGATGATGAAGTTTTGTGTCTCAGACTCACTCTCTAGAGGAAGAAACTTGTGGCATGTGCTGATATTTACAGGCCCTTCTTATTTCTGTCTTTCTCCATTGACCAGGTCTCTATTTTGCATTGGGATACTCCTCAGCACCTCCAAGACTGTGGCCTGCCCCCCTGCCATCTGTATGATCTGACCCAGCTTCTGGGGGGGAGGACAGGAGGGTGTCCTGGAGACCTCAGGGTCTGCAATGGAAAATCTCCCAGCTACAAATACATCTTTTCAGCTTCCATCCTTTGAGCCATTTATGAAAGGCCTTGACTGGAGGGGGATTTAGAGCCATGCCTACAGAAGTTGCGTGTTAGTCTGCAATAACTTTGGTTTCATTCTTTTAATCTTTTTTTTCTCTGCTTCTTTCTTATCTCTTGGAAGACCATGGAATTAGTTTGTGTTTAGATCATGGATTAACAACTCATAAAAAGTCTCATCATCTCTTATGATCTCGCAGCTAATTACGTTTTCTAAGGCAATTCATGCCCAAAATAACTTCTCTCACAATACGGTCCCCTCTAGATATAATTTGTATTTTTCAGGTATGCTTCATTTTACATATAAAATACATATTTATTTTCAGATTAATAAGCTTTCAAAAACAAAACCATGTGTTTGCTAAAACATGAATCTCTCCTCCCTTTTCTCATGCTTCAAAAGCAGTAAGCTTATCTTCACTTAATGGAGGCAGAAATTACCTTTCAAAAAGTTATTGAAAGTAATGACTGCAATTTCATACTGTTCCACAAGTCATTGTGCTGTTTCTTCTTGCTCTAATGAGCAACTAACTGCAAATGCTTGTTTTGACTGCATTAAGAAGCCATTTACAAGAAAAGGTTTTTCTTTAATAATCAAAGTAGAATTCCTTTACGAGTAACTTCTTTGAGATATCCAAATACTAATAGAGAGATTAGTATCACTAATTGTTTATTAAAACCAGGCACAAACATTGAGTTAAGGAGCATATCAGAAACGTAAATAACCCTTCAAATTAAGTCTTAGGTGCAAGGTAGTCACAGATCAACATTTAATTTACAGGAAAAGGCATTCAGTGTGGGTGATCATGAACTTGGATAGCACAAAGCAGAGGCAGGTTACAGCAATGTTCTTCATTTTCTGATGTTCTCTCCTACCTTCCTTTTTGCACATCACAATTTAAATCATGCTAATTTTTTCTTGTCACCTAATGTCAGATTCTCCAGATGAGAAAGCATCAGAACTGTGTGTACATGAAACATCTCTACATCACCAATCAAAACAGTTAATGTGTCATGGCAGTCATAGCTACTTTTCTTAACTTCTTTGGAACAAATATTGCATCTTCACTCCCCTGCCTCATAGGAGATAGATGAAGAAAGAAACACATTACTTGTCTGTCTTTCGCTTTCAGCACTCTTAGACAATAACCCAATTTTGCAGACTAAAATTAGGTGGAACACTGCTTCACTCTAATAAAGATCAGCCTGACAGGTAATAATTTTTCTTAAATACTTTGTATTACTTGCGATTAGATTTTCAGGCCAACTTTTCAAAAATATCTGTCTATTTGAAAAGTTTTGAAAATTGGTGCTGTGGTACTTCTCAACAGGAGAAACAAAGGAAATCTGGGCACAAACCAAATCTTAGGCAATTTCTTTAGTTATATGCCATGCAAAATATTTTTTTTCTTAATGTTCACCCACCAAAAAAATTTCCTTAGCCTGTAAGGTGAACAGTCAGGCAAGCTGACAGGCAAGCAGCTACCCATGGTTGCCGTACATGCAAATGAGGTATAGTGGGTCTAACAACAGAATTTATAAAAAAACCTGACTGCAACTTTCACTAAAAAAGAATAATCCTCTCTCCAAACAGTAATGCATCCAGGTGGTGTGTTGACTACTGCCTTGCTGTTCAGATGGAGCTGGCAAACACCAAGGGAATGCCCGATACAGCCTTTAGCTTCCCCTCTGCTGAATTCTTGAAAAGCTACTTATTTTTTGCCTCTGTTGCTGAAACCATCTAGTGGGAAGCAAATATCACTAAATGCTGTCAGTTCCTATGATTTTATTGTAAATCCTGCAAAATTTAATAAAAATAAAAGGCTACGAGCACTGAAAGAGAAGTACTAATTCTTATTTCTGTTAGATTATTACATATTTTAGATATTTTATTACCGTGTATATTTACAGATTTTACTTTATAAATTTACATAATTGTTTTCAAAATCTGTCTCATAGGTGCTATGAACCTGATAAGAAAACAATTAAAAGTATTTCCTTTAAATGAATCACACCCTTTTTATATTCATTCTTTTTGCTGAGGTAGGAGTTTATTCGCTATTTTAAAACAACACAAACCTCACTTTGTTGTAATATGATTTTAAAGGGGTGTCTTAACGAAACACACACAGCAATTTAATTAGTCCTATCCCAGCTATCCAAATACTGAGAGAGATCAGTGGCATGAGAACAAAAAGAACATTGCAGCCTGTTTGCTTTTAAGTTCAATCCCATTAAATGATGCTCTCTTGCAGGCCTATGAAATCAATTAAGAAGTACTCGTGAAGATAGCCAAAGAAAAACTGTTTAAATCCTTAACAGCTTAAATACCCCCCGTCTTGATGTTAGCCCTATAAAGCTATTAGACTCCAGTCTGGATTGCATTAGCACTATGAAAGTCAGCTGCTAATCCTGTAACCGCAATGCCAGCCTCGCCTCTCTCCTGCCCATGCCTTTACAGGGACTGTTTTGAGCAGATATGAAAGAAGACTGAATAAAAAATAAATAGAGAAAATAGTTGAGTTTCTTCCTTAAATAACATAGCCATCCCGGCTTAATGAAGAATAGGAATAGTGGGTTTTATTGTTTGTTGTTGAAGGTGCTTTGCTCCTAGAGAATAAAATTCTAGATACCTTCATACTGAGAGCATTTCATTAGATCAAAAGGGTCTATGCCAGAAACTAATGGAAATTGAGGACATTTCCAGAGAGTAAAGGTACTTGAGGGGATTCTGGATACACCCAGGGTGAATTACACAGCAATGTGATGAAAAATAAGTTTTCTTTCTTCCTTGAGGACTACAAAGTTTGCCAAACATGGAGCAGGTTTATGTGTTGTGTGGTTTTTTTGTTTCCCAAATCAATTTCATTACTCAGATTTTGAGTTTGTGAATTTTTATTGAGGTGATTTCTTCATATTTTTGTATAACCCTTTGCATTTTATAAAAATGTAATCTGTAGAACAATTTTGTCCTTTAATGTATCTATTTCATTGAACCAGACTTCCAAATTGAAAAGAGCATTTTTACTGAAAGTGAAATTAACCACCAAATATTGTTAAATTGGAGTATTTGAATTGTAAAAAGTAAATAAACCAAAACGTGACATCCAAGCTCAAGAACTCATTAATCTTGCATTTACATTTTCCCTTCCCCTATGCACAGTATTGAGTCAAAATGGTTCCATAAATTGTTCTTTACAAGTTGCCATTAACACTGAAACACTTTTCATCCAGAAGTCACCTTAAATAACACGCACGCTCTTTCCATTGTCTGCAAGGAAAGCCACATATAAGAGATACTGCTTGCAGATTAGATGGTAAGAATTTTCTGTTTTTCTGACATGAAGTCCCAACCGAAAAACCACAACTTAAATTCCACAAGAAGTTACAAGACCTATGCTGGTAATTATAACATTGCAATAAATTAACAGATGTGACAGACCATGATGTCTGTCCAGAAATGTCCAAATAATGAAGACAGACCTGGAGAACAACTAGCAGAGAAAGATCTGCAATAATCCTATGGTACCTCATTGGTCTACCAGTGAACATCCTTATGTGAAGGACCTTGCATCCAGCCTGAACCAATTTCCTCCAGCCTGAACTTGGGTGTGGACTTGGTCAGGTTTCTTTCAACACTCGTGAACATACTGAGATGCTCCCACTTCTGCAGTACTGTGTGACAGCACTCCATGTTACCCACGTATTTAGGGCACGTTGTAAAGAATTCTCTTTACATGCACAGCTTTTCCCCAGTATGCAATTTTGTTTTCCCTTTTTTCCAGTCCCAGCAATTCATAAGGCTCCTGAGGTTTTACAAATCCAGAAAAAAAAATAAAAAAAAATAAAAAAAATAAAAAAAAAAGCTGAGTAACATCTAGATTCCTCATTGCTCTCTGGGACCAATTCTGTCCACCTGAGCAGACTTTCCTCCTTCTGCTCTTTTCACATGATGGCAAGGACTGCTCTCCATCCACCTCCTCCAAGCATGACCCACTTTGAAACAAGCCCCCTTGCACATATCCGGAGACGACCAGGGAAACAGACACAAGCACCAAAACTCAAGCCCAACTCAGTAACAACCCACACTAGAGCAGGGAGCTGAACAGCCACCGATCATTAGGGAAATTCAGGTTTGGATCCAAATCCTAGCTCATACTTTGAAATTCATGGCCTTACTTCACCAGTTCCTACACGCATGCTCCTCCTCCATCCCACACCACCTCACACCCCCCTGCTTACCTGTCTGTCCTGCAATCGTAGCAAACACCCTGTGGGGAATCCTAGATGGGATCTTCAGTCCAGCTCTTATCTGGTAATACCTGGGGAGAAAGAATTAAAAATGACGTGCTGTTATACAGGTGACCACTTGATTCAACCTAAAAATCTGTGCGAATACATCCCGGCCATCCACACTCAAATAGAAAGGCTCAAGAGAACAGCAATGCTCAAATACTGAGCCTTTTCTTCTGCTTTGCAGTTTTAATTAAATTGGGTTTATACTGATTTTAATTAGGCCCCTCTCATTTTACAGTAGTTGGAGTAGACACACTGGCCTGATGTGTGACTAACGAGGAAAGATTGTGAAAAGCTCTTGGCTTCTTGTAGGGAAGAGAGACATCGAGAAATATCTACAGTAAAAGGCAGTGAGATCAAACAAGGTGTGACAAAAATTTAATACAAAATAAAGAAAGAGGAAACTTCTGTGGAAAGAAAAATAAATGTGTTAATCTCATATCTAGGAAATCCAATTTATACATAGTGATTATCATTCTGCTGTTCCATATTGAGGCTACCATATCATCAAAGTGTTAGCATTAATCACATCTACACCAGCTGCATTCTAGTTATTTTCTATCCCATAGGTCACCACTACGTTAAATAAAGGAAGACAGAAAAATAAAACATCAACGATTTCACTGGCTTAAGTTACACATGGTGCAGGTTACTTTCCAGAGATATGAGCGCAGTCTAAAGAGAGAAAAAAAACTCATCACAGTCTTCCCTCATCATCAGTTTCCTGAAGGAGGAGTAAGAGGCAGTATCTGATCCACTGCATGGTAGCTCAGGATACCTTCACCTGTCCACAGATCCCCCACTGATCCGCTGGAACACTGTGTTGGTGTCAATCCCCTTTTCTCTGCATTTTCCCTCCTACTCTTTGTTTAGTCTATTTGTTTATAAATTCCTCATATCTCATAAGTGCTTGCAGTTATTTTCAGCCTGATTTTTGTCTGAGGCTCTAAAGACAAAAATAAAGATTAACACACACCCAAAAATTATCCAGGTTGTTCCCAAGCTGGGAACAAAAATCCAGGTTGATGCAAACACAGCCCCCACCTCCAGTGAAGGAAGAGCTGGTGTGCCAACTATTAAAGGAGCTTCACCCCTACAAATCGATGGGGCTCTGACAGTATCCACCCAAGGGAGGAAAAAAACCCACCCACCTCAGAGGCAATTGTGTCACAGCTCAAAGTTCAAGTTCTGCCTACTCCAACTGGCAGATCCTTGCCAACCTGGATATAATTCCAGCACAACCTTTGACATTTTAAGGCATCTGTTTTAGGCAAGATCTTGGGCATGAAATCTCTCAATTTACATTTCAGTTTTCAGAAAAGAAAATACAAGAAGCTCAGATTCTAAAGACACACAAGCATCTAGTTAAAAGTAACAGCAACCAAATCTAAACTGCCTGAGCTTTCTCTCCCTTATGCTGTCCTTGCACTATGGTCAGAGTTTTAACAAATTGATGCTGTCCTGCTAGGCTCCTGATTTCTTCCAGAGCAAGTGCAAGAACTATGTCTTAAGACCCTTTGTGTTTTCATTACAACTATATGCAATACGATTTTTTTTTAACCAACAAAAATACCCTATTTGGACTACCCATACAGTCTAATCATTTCCAAATAACAGCAATGTGGAATTAAAGGGGGACTGCCACAACAGTGTATTGAGAGACTCCTCTCTTTGCAGATATTAATGTTCTACTACATGTCCATTCCACTAGATTTATTCCTATGAATAACATCCTATAAATGTCTCACTATCTCTCTTAGATTTTTGCTGCTTAATTTTGTGGTGGGTTGTCCTTGGCTAAGGATCAAATTCCCACCCAGACACTCTCTCACTCCCCCTCATCAACAGGACAGAAGGAGAAAATAGGATGAAAAATAGGATGAGATAGAGGCAAGGAGATCACTTATCAGTTACTGTCACAGGCAAAACAGACTCAATTTGGGGAAAACTGATTTAATTTATTCACAATTGGGTAGTAAGAAACAAAACTAAACATTAAAACATCACTTCTCAACACACTACCCCATCTTCCCAGGCCCAGCTTCACTCTTTCTAACTCTTCTCCTCCCAAGCAGCTCACAGGGGTGGGGAAGGGAGTTAATCAGTCCACAACAGCCCCTCTCTGCTGCTCCATCCTCCTCACACATTTGCTACTCCAAAGTGGACCCTTCCAGAGGCTGCAGTTCCTTCAGGAAACACCCAACTCGTTACCTACTGCCACACTGTGATAATACCTGTCTTCCCTCATCATGTGTCTCATGCTCAGAAGCATCTCAAGCAGCCCTAAATACTTTCATTAGGACATTTATTTCCTGTGGCTTGGCTGGTGCTTCAGATCAAGTCACGTGAAGCTGAGGAGACTATTCAAAGGCACCAGTTTCTGGCCTCGATAATACAATGTCATAAAGCAATTCTGGTATAAACCATCATGGAATTAGATAAATTAATCCTAAAGAAAGACTTTAGCAAACTGTGCTGTGCCCAGGAGACAGAAGAGGCTTCTGAATATCCTGTTGTTTCAAGATCTGTGCAATTGCTCATGTGTGCACTGCAATGCCTTGCACCTCAAGATAGTGACACTGTTTGTCATTTAGACTAATGGCAGAGGACAGTGATATAGAGGACCTCAGACTGAAGTCTCTCAATGCCTCAGTGACATTCATGGAAATTAACACACAGGGCAGTGAAAGTGCTAAAGGCTCAAACTCAAAGATTAAATTCAAAGTTCAACAGAAATGCTCAAAATTCATCTGTTTATTGCTTTTAAAATGCAACAGTTTCCCTGAAAATCTTTGATAACAAGTCATTTTTGAATGCAAGTTTCATGCAAAACGTTAACAGCAGCTCCAAAGGAGGTTGTAAATATCACAAGCAGAATATAAGCAAAGATCAGCTTCACCTTGGGTGGCCAGAGAAAGCCAAAGAGTTCCTCAGCTGACTTCCATCAGACTTCTTGTAGTCCAGTTACAATAAACAACCTCCATACGGGAAACTGAATAAAACCCATTATCTGGGTTCATTTTCCTATTTTTAAGCCACATACCAATATATAAATCTTAAGACTGGAAAATATTATCCATTCCTCCTCAGAGCTTCCTCTGAGTCTTTGCAGGCAGGGAGGAATTGCCAAACAGTGACTTTATGTCTAAACAAAAGCATAAAAATAAAGGTTCCTGCTCCCACACTGTGAAGCTTGATCTTATTTCATAATAGTGCATCATGAGGAGGGTTTTCCTGATTAAAATACAGGTCACTGCAAGACACAGTCCCATAAGTTTCCCTCAGCAATAAACATAGATAAATATTCCTGTTTCCCCGCTCCCCTGCCCCACACACCTCCTGGCTGTACCAGTACAAGTAATAGTGAGACCAAGATGTAAACCAGAACCATGTTAATGTGCACGCAAATAACAAATAACACACTTTTTTTGTCAGTACCTTACAAAAATCCATACTGTCATGTGACCGGATACTGTGCTCAGTCCCTGCTAACAGGATGGTACATGGAGAATGGTTTTGCCATCCTAAAACCACCCATTTGATTATAGCAAGGTACTGTCTGAACTAGAAATGGCATAAATTGTGCTGAGAAGCACAACGGACAGACTATAGCTCAGTGTGACCATACAGAGCTTCTGGTTTTCCTCAGAATGAAGCAAACCATCTCCAGCTGGCTCTAAATACTCCCATCAGGAAGTTGCCTTGTAGGCTGGTCCTCCTCACTAGCATCTTCTAATCTACCCAATCAAAACAGGGATTAGTTTAATGGCCTGAGCTCTCTTAGAGTCTGCCTGACCTATTCTCACCTGAGTGGGACATCTGCTGCGTGGACACAGCAGCAGCAGAGCCTTGAGGGTGGGCTGCTATCCACGTGGAGGCAATTACACAGACATGACTTCTCCCTCTTTGCGTAAGAAGCTGCTGGGCATTTCAGGCTTGTGGAGAAATTCTACAGACAAGGGCTTTATCTCTGTCCAGCTGAGTGAATTTCTCCAAAATTATACGAGGTGTGAACAGAAAAATTACAAAGAGTAGGAACAGGACCTGGAATTCAAAAATTACACCTAAACCTGGAAAATCAGGCCAAGGTAAACATTGCAAAAAACCACCAAAAAAATTACAGGAGGTCCTCCACCACATAGGTGCAGAAAAGGACTGCCTGATAGTGATATGAGGTTGACAATAACAGTAAATGAGAAATTACCTCTAAAAATAACAAGAGTTTTTGTCCTCCTGTTTACCTTTTTCATGAAGAGCACAGGCAAAGGCTAAAGGGAAGGTTCAAAGCTTTTTCAAAGCTTTGAAAAAGGCCACAGCCAATGTGCTAAAATAAAAGAGGTTGGCATGCTTAGTGAGGATGAAGCTGGAGAACCTTGGCAGAAGCAGCATGTGAACTGGACACTTAGTATTACAGGTTTACAACAAATCCAAGAAATGGATAAAGGTACAAAGGGGCAGCTGATGAGCAGAAGCTAAATAGTCATTTTGCCAAGGGGCTGAAATGGAAATCACTGTGGGTCCCTGATGAATGTGGCCCCAGAGATACATAAGACTTTATGGTAGAGTTTGAAGGATATAATAATTAGGAAATAAATGAGAAATTGCAATACAATTCCTGTTTTACTACAATTAGGCTAAGTCTAGCTCCTTAAAATTAGGCTAGGTAGTACCTCTCTGAGTAAACAGCCATTTTGTGGTTTGTTTGCGGGTTTTTGTGGTGTTTTTTTTTAAGACGAGCAGTGCAGAAAAGCTTATTTAGACATCAGTGAAATAGGGAGACCACAGAAAATTGCGAGTTAATGTGGAACAGGCACTGTGAAGGAAAGATCAGGAAACAGCAAGCTGATTTTAAGAAAAGAACTAAAGGAACTTGGCACACTTAACTCAGCAAAACGCAGAGCAATCAGATCCCCTCTCCATCTATAAATACACTGGGTGGAAAAACATCAGGAAGGAAGAAGAAGAGTGAGGTACAAGAAAGTACAACACTGGCACAAGAACGACGACATAGAAACTGCCCGTGAAC